CAGACAAAAGACAACACCAAGAAAATACGCAATTTAGCGATTTTCTAACTGCAGTCGTGTCTGGTGTGATATTTCAAGTACTTGGAGTAAGCTCTTGAACAGAGGTCAACCATATTGGCATGTCTTCTTCTAGAATGTTCTGTTCAAATTTTGTTTTTAAACCACATTGAAACAATTCTTGGAGCAAACTTGGAGAAAGGTCTAAATTAAGAGTTTTTCACGGATGGAAATACTTTCGAACGAACAATTCAGTTTAAAGTTCACAATCTTCAGCAATAAAACATAACTTACAATTTCATCATTCAAATGCACAGCTAGCAAAGAGCGTATAAGGTTACTAAATTAGGGAAAAATTTTTTTATAAACAACGGTGAATTCGAAAAACATCTCAATCGACTGTGGAGTTGTTTTTGTCAGTTTGTTTCTACGGTGTCCTCGTAGACAACATACATTCGCAAAACTTCCCCAACATCAAAACATACGCAATGACTAAATCGACAAGAAAGTTCCTGATCCTTTATCAATCTTGAGATAGAAGACTAGTATATGTTTAGTTTTAGTTTCAAAATTAGCAAGTCATGGCCGGCTACAGAAACAACTAGATTACTCTATAACAAAATTTACTTACCAGCGACCCTAATTTCAGCGCCTTGAATTACAACTAAGGCTGATAAATACTATCGTTTGTCTTTCGATCTTTTCACTGCCGCTGTGGATCGTGATGGCCGGCCTCGCACGAAGAAGGATTGCAATCAAAACGTCCCGATCTGCACATTGAAGGTAAAAACAAAGCGCAATAAACGATTATACTTTATTCCATATTGTACCGTTGTCCATAAAAAATGGATAATTCTCACACCAAAAATTCTGCTGCTTTAACGAAATGATATTCGGGTTAATCCGCTCTTTGCTTTTTCCAGCATTATTTTCTAACAAAACAAAGCAGTTCTTTCGTTCATTTGACACACGCAACACATCAGATGGTCAAATCATTAAGTGCATCAAATAACGTCACTTTTGACATTTTCACTAATCTGGGCTGACGATTGTAGAAATTGTTGTGCAATTTCACCTTTTTTTTGCTGAAACTGTTTTATTACGCTCCTTCTCCTTCAGCGTGTGTCGTATCAATATCAGTTTTCTGAATGTATCCTTGTTTATTTTAATGGACGACGGTGAATTCGAAAAGATCTCCAATCGACTGCGGAGTTGTTTCTATGGTGTTCTCTTAGACAACATACATTCGCAAAACCTCCCCAACATCAAGACATGCGCAATGACTAAAACAGACAAGAAAGTTCGTGATCCTTCATCAATCTCAAAATCGAAGACTAGTACTGTATTTCTCGCTAAAAAACTCCCCTATCAGCGAAAGTGGGGTGGAGTGGAAAGGGGGCCATTTACATACACACCATTCTGTCATCCTAACTCAAGAAGAAAGGCAGATGAAGAAGCAATCTTCAGACAGCCGTGCCTGATATGATTACTACAACAATTGAACTTAAATTATGTTCAAGAATGTTTTGATCAAAGTCCTTTTTAGAAGAGTAACAAGGATAACACATTCGATTTTAAGAAGCCTTTTTTAACAGACTAAAGATATCTTTTTTAAGTACAACAGTGGGTTTGTCAAAATTTGAAACACGCAAGACAACAAACAAAAATTGCCCATGCTCAACCAGCCTTCAACTCGTAAACAGGAACACGAAAGTAAAACCAGTGTGTTACGTATTGTGACCCTAACAAATGATAATAATCCGATGACATCGCGTGGTTTTTGAAGGCGTAGACAACAGCAAACGTCACATTTGTGCGTTGATCCCTTCTTCGGTCCTTAAAAAAATATTTTACGAAATTCTCGAATCGGCAGGAGTGGGTTGTAGAGAGAAGGGAAGGGGGGTTAACTTGCACACCATTCCACATTCCCTCACTGGATACAAAGCAGACAAAAGACAACATCAAGAAAATCCTAAATTTGGCGATTTTCTTACTGTAGTCGTGTCTGGTGTGATATTTTAAGTAATTGGAGTAAGCTCTTGGACAGAGGTCAAACATATTCCCGTGTCTTCTTCTAGAATGTTCTGATAATTTTTTTTTTTCGAACCGCATTGAGACAGTTCTTGGAGCAAACAAGGAAAATGTCCTAAATTGAGAGACTTTCATCAGAGGTAAAACTTTTGAACGAACACAATTCAGTTTAAAGTTCACAATTTTCAACAATAAAACAAACCTTACACTTTCTTCATCAAAATGCTCACCAAGCTAAGAGCGTGTAACTTTACAAAATTAGGGGAAAATGTTTGTGGACTGAACGGTGAATTCGAAATATTGGATCTCTAATCGACTGCGGAGTTGTTTTTGTCTGTTTGTTTCTCTCAGACAATCGACAGTCGCAAAACACACGCAATGACTAAATACTAGAAAGATCACGATCGTTTTTCAATCTCGAAATCGAAGACTAGTACTGTATTTCTTGCTGTTGTCCAAAGGCAGGCGTGTGTTTAGTTTCAATTTCAAAGTTAGCAAGTCCTGGCCTGCTACAGAAACAACTAAATTACTCTATAACACAATGTACTTACCAGCGAGGCTAATTTTATTGCCTTGAGGAACAACTATGGCCGATAAGTGGTATCCTTTGTCTCTCGATATTTTCACTGCCGCTGTAGATCGTGATGGCCGAGCTCGCACGAAAAAGACTCCGAGTCGTTTTCTTCCAGTCAAAACGTCTCGATCTACGTACATCGGAGGTGAAAACAAAGCGCAATATAAACGATTATACTTTAGCTGATATTGTATTTAACGACGATGGATAACCACAGTTTCTTCATACGAGATAAGATTTACCATTCAGCAAATCAAGAATCGTATTAATTCCGTCTAATTAAGAGAAACAATAGTTCTGAAAATGAATGAAGGACAAATTCCTAATTTGTTGTATTGAAAACGAAATCGACTTAGCATTTGATAAATGATTAAAATGAAGCAGGGTTAAACTCGTTCATAGAGCCGTTAAGCTTTGCAGTTTGAGTCTACGAGCAAGAATATTTAACAACACCCTTAATGGTCTTACACCGAGCTTTGGTCTCGTTGTAAACAAACGCTATTCGGAATTTTCTTCTCGAATCTTGATTACAAGTGATCTATACTTACTTCGTTGAGGATTTCAGGAACTATCGCGGGAACAAGTCGACGTTTTCAGCCAACAAAATGACAAAGTACTGCTCGGAAGCAACCACGCTCAAAAGTGAAACCAACTTGCAGAGCGCAGCATATCTGATGACATTTCACGTGTTGACTTTCACAACTAAACGTCAGCAGCAGACAGATTTGCGCCTGATCTCATTAGAAAAGAATCCAGGTCATTCAAACAGCTGATGACTAAATTGTAGGTAGGGGTAGGGTTAGGAGGAGGGGATCATTAATTTAATTTTCTGGGTTAGCGGCGATACTAAAGAAAGAGTCATTTTTATAGCCTGGGGGGCTGGAGGAAATGTTTTTTTAAGGGAGAGGATGGGATCACATAGTTTTCAGGAGGAAAGGAGGGGGAGTCAGTCGTCTCAAACAGAGTTAAGAGCTTTGGTAGAGCTGAAACGACAACTAGCTTTGTATATGGTCCATTCTATATTGAAAAAAATAATTACACTGGAAAAACATAGTTTTCATCAGAATAAGAAGTATACTCACATTTAAGTCAACTGAAAACGTCAAGTTCTGCCTTTACAGGTAATTATGAAGCAATTCAAACAAAAACTTATCATCGCTATATCTAATATAAATTTCAAAAGCTTTTCAATACAAAGGAAATAAATTTTTGGTTGGTACTTTTCAGAGGATTGGAGAGGAAACTTTTTTCCATAATGTCTGTTACATTGAAAGTATGTAGAAAACTTTGCATATTTGAAACCCATTCATTCAGATTTAATAAAAATATTATTTTATAAGACGTAAAGAAATTCATTCACTCTTTAGTATAATGATGATCTGTATGAAAACAACATAAAGTTGAAAATTCACCATGTTAAGTGTTTATTGAATATTCTGGAACCTTGATTCAAGGCTGGTAGCCTTCACAAAATTGGAAAATTTCTTTCTGTCATGAAATATTTGCTGATTAAATTTCAAGTAATTGCTGGATTTTTGCCACCATTTCCAGCCAATCTACAATGGTAATAGGACTGAGTGGAGTCTTATTCGGTCTGTTGTTATCATACACGTGATTAACAAAATTGGACGACTGCAAAGCAAGAGACCAATTTGTCAATCACGAGTATGATTACAGAAAGAAGTGGACGACAAAAAGTCCTGTTACCATTTAATCTTAATTGTTATTATTTCTGAAAACAAGAAATACATTTAGGTCAAATATCTCTGGTATAGACAATGTCTACAGTAAAAAAATATGTCGCCATTTTGGAAATTCTTAATTTTTTTTTTTGAGACAAGTCGTTGTTGCTATGGTTATTGTGATTAACTCTGTGATTGGTGGATTTGGCTGACTGAACTTAGTATGATTCGTTGCTTCAACTGTCCAATTACAGGTATCCGATTAAAGCCAACTGTCCAATTAAAGCTGTACAGAATGAGAAGTGAAAAAATGAAGCAGCTAATGCACCAATCACATTTGAAGAAATTGCAATGGTTATGATTAGTGCCTGAATAGCCTGTTCCAGGCATTCAGTCGGCAAAACAAAGTGTGATAGTAAACAGCACTATAGTAGCAGAGAAGTGAAAAAGCGAGGGAGGCTTGGGTTGAGTCACTCAATGAATCCCACCTAACCCAAGCCTCTCTTGCTGTTTCACTTTTCCGCTCCAGCCTCTGCTCCGTTTTACTAACTGAACACCTGGAGTGAGCCAATGCCTGAAACGACCTTGCATCGTTTTAAAAATTATTTTTGTATTATCCGTGTCAAATCAACATAATCTAATTTCATAAAGAAAATTAGAAATAAATTTTGGCCTCCCAAATTTACGGTGCCGTCTATTTTCTCTGTGCTCATTGATTAAGCAGATTTTTTCATGTCATTCAATAGTTTGGCCAAAATGGCGTAGGTATCTCTTCCATTCTTTAACTGCGATTCAGCGTACTGGATAAGACTGGCTTGCAGGCTCAACACCCTTTGCCTATTGTAACGGATCATCTATATTTAAATAAAAAAAAAACAAAAATTAAAATCAATCGAGTAAGCAGGTTGTCTACTACAGTTAGAGCCAAATGACAATTTCTTTTTATGTGCCCTTGACAAATATTTAAATCATCTGCCATTTCTCCTCTCTTTATTACGCCGGCACAAAGGATTCATTGTAAACCAAGGAAAATGGTTGAAAATCAAATTGTCGACGAGCGATTTTGTCATTTTGGATTCTCAGAGGTTAAAGGTACTTGCTCATCACTTTCAAGTTAGCCAATCAGTGTGTACAAAAAACACTATTCACTTGTGTGGTGTAAACTAATTTTTTGATATTCAGGTTTTAACATGAAAATGGCACAAATATTCATATTATTGTTTGACATGTGTCTAACAAGTTAACCAACAACAGGGTGGTCTGCCTGTAAAACAAACCAAGAAATGCAACCAGGCAAGGGTGGCATGCAAAATTTTCTGGCAAAACAGTAAGCCAAAAGTCTAAGTAAAACAAGAGGCCTTTTTCATATCATTTTATTCACCTCTTTCTTTGCAGCTTCTGAAATTGAATTGTATGCTTCCTCTGCATCATCTTTGGCTTTTTGAAGCTGAAAATAAAAAAATGTGTAAAAACACCATAATTCACCATTCAGAAGCTCAACTTGAACTTCGAGTCTATTGCTAAGTGCAGCCTCATGTGAATCACAAGAAAAAAAAAAAAACAACACTCAATCACATGTAAAAAATCAGAGAGAGGTGCAAAGCACATGTTTGTCAGAACCTTACCATTTCTTGGTTCTTGGGTTTGGCTTTTTCCAGTGCTTTTGTTGCGTTCTCATACTCAACTAGTTTACATGTACGACGGAAAAGCATCTCCTGCAGGGTAAGAGATGGACAAAACAAGTGCAGTAAACAGTTAAAATAATCATCTTAAGACAGCAAGAATAAATAACCAATTAAAAAAAGGGGTTTTCAAAGTTAGGGTACTGGAATTGTAATCCAGAAGTCCCACATTCCAGCTCATCTGTACTTGATGGTTCCAAATTCAATTATACCATGAAGCATTGTAAATTTAAAAAAAAACTCCCCAAGTCAGTTCATGATTCCATTCCACCATTCCAGTCTTTGTTTGTAAGTTTTCCATCCCTTTTGCTTCGCAGTATGAAAATGAAATGTAAATATTTACTCCAAAGGGCACTTTCTCTACAGATAACCTCTCTCTTGTGCTACATTAATATGGATGCACGAATTCTTGCCAATGAATTGAAAAAATTGAATGCAATAGAAATAGAGGGGGTAGAACCCAGTGTTCTCACTCAAGACACAACCCACAAATCATTTGGGATACGAGAAAAAGATTGGTCAACAGTCTGGCTGATGACTTTTTGTTGTTGTTTGGTTATTTTTGGCTTTTCTTTTCTGTCATTTTTAGATGCGCAGTGATCCTGGGCTTTTCTCAGGCGGTGATAATTCTCTCATCCCACCCCACCCCAAAAGAAAATAGTCACCTCCTTTTCCCTTCCCTAACCCTGCCCACAAAAGGAAAGTTGGTATCCTTTGAAGAGTTAAAGAAGATCCAAGTTTTCCAATACATATTTCACATACCTTAATTGGCAGCATCCATGTATCTGGAATAAAGTTCTAAAGTAAAACCTAATGTGTTGTCATCATTAGTGGACAACATCCAGCGATTCCTGAAGAAAGAAGACCACACACACAAGTAAGACAAAACAAATTAAACTCTTGGAATTGAAAATACTGCTAGCAACACTAGTTCCTGTCTAAAAATGCTATCATACCTTGACACCATTTTGTGCGCTTGAAAAAGTCACAAAACTCCTGTAAAAGTAAAAAAAGCTTTTAAAATTAGCTTTTCATTACACCCTGACATCAGAATGTATATTCTCAATACTGTTCTTGGTACATATTCCATTATACTGACAAGGAGAAGTTGTTCAACAATCAAGAGCTTCTTTGTTTTTTTCTATCATTTCCTTTATTCTCATGACCTTAATGTACTATGCAGCAGTGATATGGTGAGGAGAATTTAGATGCTGATCACTTCAACAAGAGAGGAAGACATAACTATCACATTACTGCATACGGGAAACGGTGTTGATGGGTCTTGTAAGCTGACTTAACCATTCAAAAATATGGAAATATGTTTGCCTCTTATTTTCAGTTCTCATGATGGTTACAGCAAGTAGAGCTAGCATGTAAGATGTGGTAAAACAGTAGTTATTCACATGGGAAAAAAATCAGCCAAACTACACGTCTGGTGTATCATTACTTGTGTTGGAAGTGTGCCACAACAGTTTAATTTAGGAAAGATATGAAATAAATATAAATATTGAGTAAATGTCAAATCATTTCATTAAGTAATTGCAGGCATAGAACAACAAACCCTTTCAATTCCTTAGTACTATTATCACCACCAGCAGATGCTGTCATGATGCCAGAGCTAAAATCATTCACTGCTAATGCAACGCCTGAAATTCACAAAGAAATTTAAAATAACCAAACTTATACATATGTATAAATATGCCATCATGGTGAGATTGTCATGCATAATCATACATTATCATATGTTAACAAAAACAATCATACATTTTGCAACATCCTGATACATTACAATACTACATCAATAATACCTCAAGTATATCTTTGCTACCCTCCTGTTGTTTTCACATGGATGTTCTTTACAAATGAATGTTTTGGCCAAACTCTTTGTTTAAAATTCACTAGTCCAGACTATTAACCCTTTAAGTAACCAAGACAGAAATTCTCCTCACAACTATCAGTACAATATCAAGGAGACAAGTGATGAGAATAAAGAAAAATATCAATGAGGGGATTATTCATCGATCCAATCCCAAATTCTACTAACTAACATTATATAAATTGTATTGCAAACAGTAATGAGAATTACTAAATAAATGAGATCTTGGGAGTTAAAGAATTAACCAAAATGAGATTTCAGTATGAATTTTGCTATTTCACTTATAACAACCATAGGGCAGATTTAACACATTGCAGTACAGAGACATTGCTACATACATTGCTGACTGTGCACCATTTTGGTAAAGTTCTACAAAAAACACAAAGAAACACATGGATTAATTGAAGGAATCTACACATTGATGGCTACACTCAAATCAGCCAAACACCAACAACTAATGTTCCTCTTGAAACACTCTGTATCAAAAGTTAAAAGTATACATCATCCACTAATCTACTATTGATAATATAATTAAAATTCACTTTTTTATGTGATGTAACATAGCTTTTAAATCACACACAACTTCCTGCTGATTTGGCATTTTTTAATTTCCTTTTTTTTGCATGGTACAGAATACAGATCTAGATTAAACTTGATGAGAGGTAAGTATTTATGTCATCAACCCTTAAACTCCCATGAGAGGCAAAGACATCATTTTTCCTTACAATATCAGTACAATATCAAGCAGACAAGTGACCGAATAAGGAAAAATATCAATGAGAATATTATCAGCTGATCCAACCACAAATTCTCCAAACTGATATCACAAGAATTGTAAGACAGACAGTAAAGGGAATTACTAATAAGTGCTAGAAGATGCGGCTCTTTAGTAAACTTTTAGTTGCTTTATTATAACTATTACTGACCCCATATGTCTCCTTGGTAAGTGGTGTGTATTCTTCCACAAAATCTGTTTTTTTCTGCAATTCTTCATCAAGATCCTAACCAAAGGGAGTAACTTCTGGTTATTTGTATTTCTAGGAACACCAAGTCATTCTTGTAATGGTTAAATTCAAAAGAAAATTAGGTCATCAATAAAAGCCAATGGTGATCTACTGCTGCCTGTATGGCCTCTTATTGCTGTCTGCTTAGCCTGTGTGTTTGGATTTTGTCAAACAAAACAGCTGCCTGGTACATAAATTCCACAGGCAGGCACTTAATATGGAAAAAGTTACGAAACCCCTGAGGTCTCTGAATATAATTAGTGCCAGACCCCTGGCAAGCCTCTCCCTGACTTGTACTTATTCGATTAAATGCCTCCCTTGTATAAAAACCACCCTCTAATAAACGCTGCATCATCATCTGGCTTTAATTCGAAGAATGGACTCAAAAGGCTCACAGCTATCATTGCTGAACCAGACACAAATCCTTTCAAATGTACCCGTTCTGATGTCAAGAAAGCATATCCAACATAAAATCTTTATTCACATTATGCAATGCAGTTGTATAAACTTGCAAATTGTGAAATTGAGAACAATATACAAAATGAGTTTTTAGACAAGCAATAAAACATGTGTCTGTTCAAAAATTAAAATGATTCATTTCCATAATATTGTTCTTTTGATATTAAATTAATGCCACCCTTGTATAAATACTGGCCTCCAATAAACACTGCACTCCAATCATGAAAAATTGCCATGGCATTTAATTGAATAAATTTGTTAATGAAACCCCTGAGATCTCTGAAAGATATAATTAGTATCAGTCCCCTAGCAAACTTCTCCCTAACTTGTCTCAAATTTTCTACAGAGCTAATAATGAAAGGCTGCTCAAGGGCTATTCAGCAGTTTAACACTTTAACTCCTCAGAGTGACTGACATCTAATTTCTCCTTACCATATCCGCCCTGAATCAAACATTAAGGTCTGGAGAAAAAAGAACTGATCACCAACTAAAGAAGCTCTTGATTGTTAGATAAATTCTCCATGTTGGCATCTTAGGAAATGTTTAGAGAACAGTATGGAGAATATACATACTGATGTTAGGGTATGAAGGGTTAAAACACTGTCCCTCTGTATGCCATAATTCAAACCACAATTATTCATATTTTACAGCCCTGAATGAGACATACACTGTATGTAATTAAAACAATAATCCAGTGATATCACAATTTTATTACATAAAGACTTCTTAGATAACAAATCAAAACAAAACAAAAAAAACATAAAAACCATGGAACATTTTGTACCTTGTGACTATGATGGATGAAATTATCCACAGCTCATGATAAACTTGTCATAAGAACCTTTTTTCACTTGCTTCTGACTGCAAGCAATGTAATAAAAAAGTGTTTATACCTTACACTGTAAGTGTATGAGCATGAGAGATCCCATTAAGCCACTGATCACTGAGTTGAAAAGAGATTAATTTCTCAGAGCAAGGAGTTTAATAATGATTATCAAACTTAGTTTTACAAAGTTGCAACACACATTTTGTCACAAAAGAAATCCCCCAGGCATATACATACAATCAGCAAGAAAATTGTCAACACACTATGCCATTGAAATGGCAATATTCTGGAATAGCATACCAATTTTATTCCTTATTTTCAACTCTTCTTCTCATGTACAATGTTTCTTTAATTGTTTTACACCATTCTACAACATTGACTGGTGGAAGAGGTTATTGTTGCAGTGAATTGTAGTTCAATTTTCACTCCATTTCTACATAATTCCTTAACTCCTCCATTAATTCAGTGGATGTTGTGTCAACTGATTTTATCTTTAAAACATTTATGACCCCTTAAGATGAAAATAGTCACAATTATTGTTGATTATATGAAAAATATACCTATGGAGTTTAAGTCAAGTGTTGTTTTGCCATAGTATGTCAGTTTACAAATTTTGTGGAAAAAATCACCCACACTCACAGGGATCGTAGCCAAATATCTGTAAGAGTATCTTATTATTTGAAAAACTCACATTTTCCTCTTTCAAAACCTTCTGCAAATCTCCATCTTTTCAAAAGTCTGGGTGGCTGACAACAAGTTGAAAAAATCTGAAAAACATTAAAAATTTTAATTCTTGAGATGGGCTAATATGCAATGTAAACATGAGAATAAACAGTGTCTCCCAGAAAGTATATTAAATTTTTGAGAGAAAATAGTATCTTCAAGAAAAACTGAGTCTTTCCTAGGGAAGTTTCCATAAGATCTGTTTGTTGTTTCTTGTTGGGTTGTTTTCTTGATCAATTATGTTTGACTTCACCAGTTTACTGGGAGAAAAAACTTGATTGGAAAATTAACCCTTTATATCCTAACAGTGACTAACATCAAATTTCTCCTTACAATATCACACCTAAATAACAAGTTAAGGTCATGAGTGTAAAGGAAATGATCATCAACAAAAGAAGCTTTTGATTGGTAAACAAATTCTCCTTGTCAGCACCTTAGGAAATGTATGAAGAGCTGTATGGAGAATATGAATACTGAATCTAGGGTGTAAAGGGTTAAAAAAAACTTTCCCAACCCGCTGCTTTTCTTTTCAATACTCTGTAATCTGCTGTAAATCCATACAATTACTGAACTGTCCCCTTTTCCTATTCATTCATTACTCCTTTCCATTGGTTATTCTCAGTTTCTTTACTCCACCATAAACTTTGTTTGAACATTAAAATATACCTGTGTTTCTCCTTTCTCCCATTTCTCTGAACATTCCTCTGTAACCCAAATCCACATCGTCCTTGAATTTCTGTCTTACGAGTCCTTCTTGATGTGTAGCTCAGTAGCTCGATGTGCGGCGCTTGGTAACCACCCTGTCTCACTTCGCTAACAAACCACCAGCAGAGTTCTATTTGTGTAGTGCGTCAAGAGGATGGTTTCCAAACGACAAAGTACCGGCTGCATCCATGGAAAATGCCTTATGGCATCAGTGCTACTGACTCTAGATCGTTACTACCAAAAAGGCAAAGTTAGCAGCCATGTAAAGCTTTTTTGGCCTTGTTAGGCCTGATAAATAAGGCGTTGCTAACATAAGGGGCTTGGGTAGCTTATGAAAAATGTTTTGAATTACATATATGGTACATTTGCAGAAAGAAATAGAGGTGTGGAGGCCCCATAGTCTGCGTGTTGGAGTCTGAGTCGAGAGATTCCTATGCAACCCTCGGGCATAATTTTCAAAGTTCTACTAACTTCAGAAGCACAAATATAACATTTACAAATTAAATTATACGTAATGATGATGCGAGTCTTCGTCCAGACAGTAGTGTGTTATTTTTCTTTCCTTTGCGTTTTTACTCTTTGCATTTCAAATTTGTCAAAATCTCTATCTCGAAAGAATCATGGCAAACAAAATCCGTCTGGCTTGTTAACTTCCCGGGTTTTTCGAGAAACGGGCTCCTGGTCTTGTTCATAGGAAGGGGTTTTTTTCACAACGCCTAGGCCTCTCTCTACACAGGATTACAAATGAGTACCGCTGAACAGTGAGCCTGAAACGAATCGTCTCTCAGCTAACTGTTGTATTTCAAATATCTATATCAATCATTTACAACATGGAGTCCTTGCTTTGGGAGTCAAAGATCCGATTGCATTTGTAACTCATCCGCGTTTTGCCACTCTGCAGGATTTTCTAAAAAGTTTTTTTTAAACAAAACAATCAGCAATTATTCATTTTAAAAACTTCTGTTACAGAAACACGCCGACGACTCTGCTCAAAATTCAGCTCCACTACCTAGCTGATCAGTGCAGCCAGCAAATTCATCAGCAGATCGCCAGCAACTTTATCGCACTTTACACCACTTATTTGAGACCAGATAATGACTGCGATTCACTTGGGCTATGCACATTCGAAAATGTCGAGGTGGAATGTGGAGACCAGACAGGAACACTTCGAAAAAGAGACTTAGGAAGTAATCAGCTCTCATCAAGAATTTCACTTTCCATTAGTTTTGATTTAAAAGTTCCACTGCCCGAGAACACGACTGCAGCTGATCTTAATCAGACAACTGAAGAAATTTCCAGTAACCTATTATTAAAGTTTAACAGAGCAGATGTGAATCTAAAATATCAGTGGGATTTCCTTAGTTTTCGATGCTTCAAAACCACCTCAAGTCCGCTTCGTGCGCCTTTTATGTGATAATGCACAGATTCTAAGAGCTCCAAATGCGGTGAGCAGGGTTTGTTATCATCAAATTCCAAAGAATCTCAAAAAACAAAGTGACTGGTTGACTAATGCGCTTAAAAGGTTCTTATTTTGTCCAATGATGTTGGTTACGCTGACATTTTTTTATAAGCGAGTATTCTAAAATAAATTTTTTTAACATTTCGGACAAACAGGAGCAGCGAGAGGCATGATGCAAATGAAAGAATAGCCGGAGAATTTTTATTTTACATTTGCCAAGTACTTCCCTGTAACTATGAAATTTTCTGAAATGCCCAAGTTTTCCAAAACGGCCGTAAAAGCAATTTCACTTCCGCTTTATAATTGGTTTGTTTAAAAAAATAGGTGTTATACGATTAGCTGCCTACTCTAGATCAACAATTTTTCCAAGGCGCAGAATTTCCTCGCGGAAGGCATTCCAAAAAATATGGGAGTCGAAAAAAACGCATTGACAGTGCATACTCTAACTTAGACTAGAATCTTCGTATAGCTTTTAAGGACCTTGATGTTTAGGGAGTACTTGGTTAAGTTTAGACCCTATCGTAAGTAATAAGAATGATGTAATTAACTCAACGAAGGAAGTATATCATAACCGAGCACCAAAAAATCATTCTTTCAAATGAATCAAAGTACAAAACCTTTCTCTTGAAAATGAGTTTCCGCGCATGAGGTTGAAGAATGATTGTAATGTGATTATCGAAAACACAATGCACTTGCCTTGCTATACAAACAGGTGCTTCAAATAGCTCTGAAATAGCTTTGTAAACAGCTTGATGATACGTCAAACACTTTGAATATCTTCGACCCTTTTTGTTATTTATAGTGAGCTGTCCTGTTGGATACTTACACAATACCTCAGATTGCCAGGTATGCGCAGTGGATCATTACCAGGATAAAGAGGCGCAGACTTCTTTTGTTCCTTGTCCATTCGGAACATCAACATTCGGCGAGTTAGCATGGCAAGGAAACTGTGAAGGTCTTTATGATGAATTTATTTGTACCGCTGTAAACAATATTCGTATTTGACCGCTTGCCAATTCTTATCTTCATCAGAAATTCCAAAACATCAAATGTCGATGGGCAAGGGACATCAGGTCACCTTCTCAATGTCATCATTGCCATGGCAATAGTTGTACCAGTCATTGTAATAGTTGCTGTCGCCATCTTTTGTGTGTGGAAGCAAAGAATGTAAGTCAAAAGCATCATTTTCTTTTTTTTTTTTTTTTTTTTTTTTTTTTATGGTTGTCATTATCGTCACCATAAGAATTTCTTACTGTTATTTTTACTGCCGTCGTAGTTTTTCAAAAGTGGAATAGAAACCGATAGAGTTCAGTTGCAATGGAAGATAAAGAGGTGAAAAGGCTTGGGAAGGGTAAATTGGCCTGAGCAAAGCAAGGGTTATGGTGGGGTAACCTGTTGTTCAAGCAAAATTGCCAGAGCTAGTAAAATACATGTATCAGTAAAATAACAACAGGAAGCATTTAACAAATCGTACTGAATGCCAGGCTTATTCATCGCCGAAAACCATTTCCTTCTTCCCCTTCCCCCTCCCCTCCCATTCCCTTACCGATTCATCAAGTTTCTCTGATAGTTTGCCACTTGCCCTCGATATTCAATGGTGCAGAGCATCACATTGACAATAAAGTAGTAACGTATTGTCCTCAAGATTGCATCACAGTGACCCTACCGTGCCTCAAATTTGAACCTCTCGATCAGTTGTTCCTGCGCACTATTTAACAAACCACTGCAATTCCCAACTTTGATATATTCTCTTCCCGTATCCTTTGTAATATTAGCGTCTGAAGGTTACCTCCACTACACAACAACTCACGCACAAAGCATAAAACAAATATTCTTATTTTGGCTCAGGAAGGCATTAACAAAGTTAATATTTTGTCTTGTTTCGGAATTCCAGGGCGCGTTCGCTTGAATGACATGGCATCACATAGCAAGGTTTGATACATGCGAGCTACTTAAAGATTCATTTCTCTCTTTCTCATCTACTTTATCTTTCCTCCCTCAGAAGACCTCAGCGAACAACGTCTGAGACTAAGGGACACAACAATCCAGCATATGAAGATCCAATGAATACCCGTGTCTATGAGGAAATTGGAGAATTGCAGTTTCCGAGTCCTCATTCCCATTATCAGTTACTGAATACGGAACCACATACTTACGCGGAGCTCCGAAACAGTCACTCTCAAGCCTAGGGAAATAGTTAGACGATTTTAGATAATCTGAGTTGAGATTTTTTTTTGCTATAGTCCTACCTTCACCGGTTTAAGCCGTGGATATGCAAAGCATAGGAAAAAGCAACGCGTTAACGCGGCCTAGGAAGCCTGGGGAGAGCATACATATATCTTATATAGGATGCGAACTCAATGTTAGTTTTGGCAAATCAATTAAGGAGAGCTCTTGTGGGGATGACGGCTAATTTTGTACCGATAATGTACTGCACAATAGCCCTTTTATCACAATGTGAACAACTGAACATTCCCTCTTAACACTTTGTTGGGAGAGTGGAAATCAAATGTCAAGGTTGTTTTGGTAAACTTAGACTTGACCCGCCGAAATAACCAATTATATTCTGCACGTTATATCCACGAGTTCATTATAATGTCACTTGGATCTTGTTCTACAGTATCTATGATGGGTTCTAGTGCGGAAGGTCTATAAGGATTAGAGGAAAGGTTCAATACTTCTTACAGGCATCGAGGGAAGCGTTATCACGGAGAAAATGGCCGCAATTCAACGATAAAACCGCCCACGTAGACAATTCAAATCCAATCCCTTGGACAGTGTAATATGTTACAATCAAAGATACACTTTGGGTGCAATGTAGAGTTACGAGTTCAGAATAAAATGTTTCATTCTTAGTTGGATTTGGATCTTTATCAGTTTCGTCATCTAACAAGAGTATCTCATCAAAAAATGTATTTTAAATTTTCGATTTCCAAAAGTGTTTGTAATACCGCATTTGTTCCCTTTTTCACTCGTGTCCCGAAATATTATGGAGAAGTAAAACATGTTACAATTCTAGCCTTCAGACGAACAATAATCTTACTAACTTTTTTCATCAATAAATAACCCCATTCTCATGCAAGTCACTTCTCTACGACATGATAATGATCACCCACGCGCTATCTAGGCTTTAATTAGGCTTTCATGAGAAATTTTTGACTGGGGAGAAGGGGAGGGAGCCCTGTATGAGAAAAACTAATGATAATTTCAACCCTCAAGTCCAATTAAAAAAACTTAAACTTTCGTTAAAAATTTTGTCTTCAAGATGAAAGAGGAGTTTGTAGGAATGTGGGTATTAGGAACTGTGAGCCAATGCATTGTGAGACTTCACCGCGTCACTATGAACACTACTGAAGCGAGCAGTTGAAAAAGGGACTTGTACGAGCCTGAATTTTTTTCAGGTCCTATTTTCAACCACTCGTTTCAGTAGTGTTCTTAACTGCGAGGAGCTCTTAATTTCGTTTCTTCACCGCAGTGCAAATATATGAATTGCATATATCTAAAATCACCATTCACCGCGTAAGCGTCGTTTAAGATCTTTATCGAAGTTTGCTCTCCGACTCCACAAGAATGAGAGGTTACTTCCACTCCACCTTGGATGTTAAACAATTACTGATGAAGAGGTAACGGGATTTCTTTTTAGTTTCCTGTGACATGTTAGCAAATTAGTTATCCAGAGAATTTTCCGTCTACGAAGTTCGGGACAAATGATGTTTATTTCTTTAAGACAACCGCTGATCAGACTCTAGTGATTGAGGCTCACGTGGGCCTTGATGACAAGTGGCGGGGGGAGGGAAGAGAGGGGCGGGAACGGGAGGTGAGGAGCAGTTTTCGATTTTTCAATTATAAGGTACTGAAGCGTTTAGTGAAAAACTTTAATACGTTGCCTGTGAACAGCGAAATATCATGGATTTTGTTCTAATATCTAATAATATCTATTTCTGCTCTTTTTTTCAGCTAGTAAAACATTGTTTTTGTTAAATCGCTCGTTTTCGTGTTTGTTTTAGGCATGACAGTTTTCGAAAAATCGACCTCTAATGTTACCTTAAATTTGAGCCTCGACATGGGTCGCCATGAGTGTTCGCTGGGGTGATCAGAAATTCTCTCATAACTCGATAAATTTAAAAGATCAGATGAAGTGGATTGTGGTTCTAGAATAAGGACATGAAAGTCTTTCAATGTACAAAAATCAACTAAATCTATTTTTCAAGCTAGATCAGCCAGCCTGGATACTCTCTCTTAATTATGAATATGAATAAAAATCATCAATTTAAAAGAGCAAGATTCTGAAAAAGAAAGCACTAATTAGCAACTTAAGAATTTCTCTACTTGGGTGCATATTCTGACTGTTGATTATCCGTAGAACTGCAACCTTTTGTAGCAACCTAAGAAATGAGAAAGTAATGAACTACTTCTTCAGATCGATTGAGTGAGTTTCCAGATTGGAATATTAAAAGCACAAATTTTGCAGGATATTATGAAAAGTTTAAAACGGTCTAACTCTCACGTGCTAAAAAAACACAACGAGTAAACCTAAATTAAAGACCAACAACGTCTATGAATCAGCACAGTTACTAAACTACCACCACGAGTCTCTTCTTCTTTTATAAAACAGCACAAGGATCAACTCTCTTTCTTTTCTGTCTTAGCAAAGATAACTTCCTCTCAACCTCAAGTGTCCTTGAATGTTCTTGACCATACTTGAAGGTATAAATTACCAGTGCACGCTCGTAGCAGTATTTTGCTTCATCTGTGTCGCCCAGATCACTGTGTAAATTACCCAGATTGTTGTAAGAGCTTGCAACATCAACATGCTCAGGTCCAAGCTTTTTCAGACGAATCTCCACTGCACGCTTATAGCAGTCTTTTGCTTCATCTGTGTCGCCCAGAGCCTTATGTAAAGTACCCAGATTGTTGTAAGAGCTTGCAACATCAACATGATCAGGTCCCAGCTTTTTAAGACGAATCTTCAGTGCACGCTTATAGCAGTCTTTTGCTTCATCTGTGTCGCCCAGAGCCTTATGCAAAGTACCCAGATTGTTGTAACACCTTGCAACATCAACATGCTCAGGTCCCAGCTGTTTCATCTTAATCTCCACTGCACGCTTATAGCAGTCTTTTGCTTCATCTGTGTCGCCCAGATCACTGTGTAAATTACCCAGATTGTTGTAAGAGCTTGCAACATCAACATGCTCAGGTCCCAGCTGTTTCAGACGAATCTCCAGTGCACGCTTATAGCAGTCTTTTGCTTCATCTGTGTCGCCCAGAGCCTTATGTAAAGTACCCAGATTGTTGTAAGAGCTTGCAACATCAACATGCTCAGGTCCCAGCTGTTTCAGACGAATCCCCAGTGCACACTTATAGCAGTCTTTTGCTTCATCTGTGTCGCCCAGATCACTGTGTAAATTACCCAGATTGTTGTAACACCTTGCAACATCAACATGCTCAGGTCCCAGCTTTTTCAGACGAGTCTCCAGTGCACGGCTAAAGCAGTCTTTTGCTTCATCTGTGTCGCCCAGATCACTGTGTAAATTACCCAGATTGTTGTAAGAGCTTGCAACATCAACATGCTTAGGTCCCAGCTTTTTCAGACGAATCTCCACTGCACGTTTATAGCAGTCTTTTGCTTCATCTGTGTCGCCCAGAGCCTTATGTAAAGTACCCAGATTGTTGTAAGAGCTTGCAACATCAACATGCTCAGGTCCCAGCGTTTTCAGACGAATCTCCAGTGCACGCTTATAGCAGTCTTTTGCTTCATCTGTGTCGCCCAGAGCCTTATGTAAAGTACCCAGATTATTGTAACACCTTGCAACATCAACATGCTCAGGTCCCAGCTGTTCCATCTTAGTCTCCAGTGCACGCTTATAGCAGTCTTTTGCTTCATCTGTGTCGCCCAGAGCCTTATGTAAGGTACCCAGATTATTGTAACACCTTGCAACATCAACATGCTCAGGTCCCAGCTGTTTCGGACGAATCTCCAGTGCACGCTTATAGCAGTCTTTTGCTTCATCTGTGTCGCCCAGATCACTGTGAAGAGTACCTAGATTGTTGTAAGAGCTTGCAACATCAACATGCTCAGGTCCCAGCTGTTTCATCTTAATCTCCAGTGCACGGTTATAGCAGTCTTTTCCTTCATATGTGTCGCCCAGATCACTGTGTAAAGTACCCAGATTGTTGTAAGAGCTTGCAACATCAACATGCTCGGGTCCCAGCTGTTTCATCTTCATCTCCAGTGCACGCTTATAGCAGTCTTTTGCTTCATCTGTGTCGCCCAGAGCCTTATGTAAAGTACCCAGATTGTTGTAAGAGCCTGCAACATCAACATGCTCAGGTCCCAGCTGTTTCCTCTTAATCTCCAGTGCACGCTTATAGCAGTCTTTTGCTTCATCTGTGTCGCCCAGGTCACTGTGTAAATTACCCAGATTGTTGTAAGAGCTTGCAACATCAACATGCTCAGGTCCCAGCTGTTTCCTCTTAATCTCCAGTGCACGCTTATAGCAGTCTTTTGCTTCATCTGTGTCGCCCAGAGTCTTATGTAAAGTACCCAGATTGTTGTAAGAGCTTGCAACATCAACGTGCTCAGGTCCTTGCTTTTTCAGACGAATCTCCAGTGCACGCTTATAGCAGTCTTTTGCTTCATCTGTGTCGCCCATATTACTGTGTAAATTACCCAGATTGTTGTACGAGCTTGCAACGTCAACATGCTCAGGTCCCAGCTGTTTCAGACGAATCTCCAGTGCACGCTTATAGCAGTCTTTTGCTTCATCTGTGTCGCCCAGGTCACTGTGTAAATTACCCAGATTGTTGTAACACCTTGCAACATCAACATGCTCAGGTCCCAGCCGTTTCATCTTAATCTCCAGTGCACGCTTATAGCAGTCTTTTGCTTCATCTGTGTCGCCCAGATCACTGTGTAAATTGCCCAGATTGTTGTAAGAGCTTGCAACATCAACATGCTCAGGTCCCAGCTGTTTCATCTTAATCTCCAGTGCACGCTTATAGCAGTCTTTTGCTTCATCTGTGTCGCCCAGAGTCTTATGTAAAGTACCCAGATTGTTGTAAGAGCTTGCAACATCAACATGCTCAGGTCCCTGCTTTTTCAGACGAATCTCCAGCGCACGCTTATGGCAGTCTTTTGCTTCATCTGTGTCGCCCAGATCACTGTGTAAATTACCCAGATTGTTGTAAGAGCTTGCAACATCAACGTGCTCAGGTCCCAGCTGTATCAGACGAATCTCCAGTGCACGCTTATAGCAGTCTTTTGCTACATCTGTGTCGCCCAGAGCCTTATGTAAAGTACCCAGATTGTTGTAAGAGCTTGCAACATCAACGTGCTCAGGTCCCAGCTGTTTCAGACGAATCTCCAGTGCACGCCTATAGCAATCTTTTGCTTCATCTGTGTTGCCCAGATCACTGTGTAAATTACCCAGATTGTTGTAAGAGCTTGCAACATCAACATGCTCAGGTCCCAGCTGTTTCATCTCAATCTCCAGTGCACGCTTATAGCAGTCTTTTGCTTCATCTGTGTCGCCCAGATCACTGTGTAAATTACCCAGATTGTTGTAAGAGCTTGCAACATCAACATGCTCAGGTCCCAGCTGTTTCATCTTTATCTCCAGTGCACGTTTATAGCAGTCTTTTGCTTCATCTGTGTCGCCCAGAGCCTTATGTAAAGTTCCCAGATTGTTGTAAGAGCGTGCAACATGAACATGCTCAGGTCCCAGCTTTTTCAGAAGAATTTCCAGTGCACCCTTATAGTAGTCTTTTGCTTCATCTGTATTGCCCAGAGCCTTATGTAAAGTACCCAGATTGTTGTAACACCTTGCAACATCAACATGCTCAGGTCCCAGCTTTTTCAGACGAATCTCCAGTGCACGTTTATAGCAGTCTTTTGCTTCATCTGTGTCGCCGAGAGCCTTATGTAAATTACCCAGATTGTTGTAAGAGCTTGCAACATCAACATGCCCAGTTCCCAGCTGTTTCCTCTTAATCTCCAGTGCACGCTTATAGCAGTCTTTTGCTTCATCTATGTCGCCCAGAGCCTTATGTAAAGTACCCAGATTATTGTAACACCTTGCAACATCAACATGCTCAGGTCCCAGCTGTTTCCTCTTAATCTCCAGTGCACGCTTATAGCAGTCTTTTGCTTCATCTGTGTCGCCCAGAGCCTTATGTAAAGTACCCAGATTGTTGTAAGAGCCTGCAACATCAACATGCTCAGGTCCCTGCTTTTTCAGACGAATCTCCAGTGCACGCTTATAGCAGTCTTTTGCTTCATCTGTGTCGCCCAGAGCCTTATGTAAAGTACCCAGATTGTTGTAAGAGCTTGCAACATCAACATGCTCAGGTCCCTGCTTTTTCAGACGAATCTCCAGTGCACGCTTATAGCAGTCTTTTGCTTCATCTGTGTCGCCCAGAGCCATATGTAAAGTACCCAGATTGTTGTAAGAGCTTGCAACATCAACATGCTCAGGTCCAAGCTTTTTCAGACTAATCTCCAGTGCACGCTTATAGCAGTCTTTTGCTTCATCTGTGTCGCCCAGAGCCTTATGTAAAGTACCCAGATTGTTGTAAGAGCCTGCAACATCAACATGCTCAGGTCCCTGCTTCTTCAGACGAATCTCCAGTGCACGCTTATAGCAGTCTTTTGCTTCATCTGTGTCGCCCAGAGCCATATGTAAAGTACCCAGATTGTTGTAAGAGCTTGCAACATCAACATGCTCAGGTCCAAGTTTTTTCAGACGAATCTCCAGTGCACGCTTATAGCAGTCTTTTGCTTCATCTGTGTCGCCCAGAGCCTTGTGTAAAGTACCCAGATTGTTGTAAGAGCTTGCAACATCAACATGCTCAGGTCCCAGCTGTTTCAGACGAATCTCCAGTGCACGCTTATGGCAGTCTTTTGCTTCATCTGTGTCGCCCAGACCACTGTGTAAATTACCCAGATTGTTGTAAGAGCTTGCAACATCAACATGCTCAGGTCCCAGCTGTTTCATCTTAATCTCCAGTGCACGCTTATAGCAGTCTTTTGCTTCATCTGTGTCGCCCAGATCACTGTGTAAAGCACCCAGATTGTTGTAAGAGCTTGCAACATCAACATGCTCAGGTCCCAGCTGTTTCATCTTAATCTCCAGTGCACGCTTATAGCAGTCTTTTGCTTCATCTGTGTCGCCCAGAGCCTTATGTAAAGTACCCAGATTGTTGTAAGAGCGTGCAACATCAACATGCTCAGGTCCCAGCTTTTTCAGAAGAATTTCCAGTGCACGCTTATAGTAGTCTTTTGCTTCATCTGTGTCGCCCAGAGCATTATGTAAAGTACCCAGATTGTTGTAAGAGCCTGCAACATCAACATGCTCAGGTCCCAGTTGTTTCATCTGAATTTTTAACAGCCATTTACCATAGACTAGCGCCGCTCTAAACTCACTATGGTTTAGGCACATGTTATTAAGGCTCCAAAGGCCATCCAGAAAATTACACAAGGCTCTTTTGGTCGCTTCTGGTATTCCTTTCCCGAGTGACATGTCTTCAATTTTTAAGCTCAACGTTTGAAGATGGGGAACTATTCTTGTTGCCACAAAAATAGATTCTAGCTCTTCAAATTTTGAGAAAGACATTACCGCGCCATACACCACTTTGTAGCTTTGATCCTTTGCGAAACCTTTTGTCGCAGATTTAATAACATCAAGAACCACACCATGGACTCGAATATAAACACCAGTTGATTCTTCTTCAATTAGCAACAGTGAACATCGACTCATCCTTGTTCTTATCATATCTTCATCTTCAAAATCGTCATCAGCTTTGATATACTCGGTAATAATGTCTTGCAGGATCGGCTGTGATGCACACATTGAGAGAAAAAGGAACGTGCGATGCCAAATTATGTCATCTGTCATCGCCTTTTCGACGGCGAGTGTTATTGCTTTGGTCATGGACTTTGAATAGCATGGATTTGTCTCAGCAAGAATGTTTTCAGTAGCACTTCGTTTCCCCATTTCCAATTTCTTTAAATAGTCGGTCCAGCCAAACTTCGAGGTTGCTTTATTCTGACGAACTTGTCTTACATACGTAGCTGCGCCTGCCAAGGCAAGTGGCTGGTAGTCGAGTACTTTCGCAGTTTCTTTTATAATCTCGCCATCCGTGGTTCCAGTGAGGAGGTTCAGCAGAAAGTATGCATCATCAGGATGCATTCCAGCGCTGAGTGAGATATTTCGTATGGAAGAGCTTGACAACGGTATAGACGCAGTGTCTCGTGTTGTTATTAGCATCTGACCCCTTGCCCACAACTTGCTGTCTGCATCTGGCAAATAGTCGCTTGTACGAGATTCGCTGGTCACATTATCAACTACCAACAGCCATGAAGCGTAATGCTTAACTTTTGTACTTATTAAGGTCTTGAAATATGAAATCTTCTCGTCTGTGTTCAAATCCTTGGAGCGGTAAGTGTTTGTTATTTCATACCCGGGACATTTGCAATGTTGAGCGAAAAGGACATACGATTTCAAAAGTGCTTCTGAGTTTTCAGCATTCAACGTCATGACAAATGAAGCTGCGGAAGGTATTTGTTCGACCTCGTCGTAAAATCGCTTGGCTGCTAAACGGGCCAGCTGAGATTTTCCACTTCCTGGATTTCCTGACAAATACAGTATGCTCAACCCATCATTGGCGTCTTTTAGTGTCTGGAGGTTTTGTAAAACTTCACCAACTTCAGATTCCCGAGGAGCGATGTCGTGGCTAGGTTTGGGAGGGAGAATGCAAAATGGAGAGATATCGGAATGTAATTGCTCTTCTAAGGCAAGCCTCTGTTCTTCTTTTTGTTGAACTTCCTTGTCCTTTTCTAGAACTTCCTTTTCCTTCTTGTTAACTTCTTGTTTCAAGTCGTCCACCTTCCTTAAAACCTCGTCTAACTCCTCTGTTAAGAAGTTTGTCTGATTTTGAACTTCATTGATTTTCAATGTCGGGAGACCGAGTGCGTGGAATGCAGTTTTAACCTTTGTAATAACAATTTGGAAATCTCCGTTGGAGAGGTGGCCCCGTCGCATATGTGCAAATTCTTCATTTCGAAATTTCCTTAGGTCGTCCACATTTGATCTAACTGATGGATTGAGTGAATATATGCAATCTGAATACAGGATAGCGTAAAACAGCATGGTACAATCCCATTCAGCTCTATCGCCATTCTTCATGGTTGACAACAGCCCAGCGTTTCTTTTTCTGTTTCGAGTAGACTCGCCATTCCAGAAGTCCATTCCATTTTTGGGTTGATCTTTCCATTCCCCCAGTGTTGTCTTGTATCGATTGTCCCATTCTTGTTTGAAGATGGTTCGCAGACCCTCAGTTAGTATGTCAGTGACAACGTAACAAATCCTGTAGTAATTCAGTTGCTCTGTGGTGTACTTCAACCCAGTGGCCATTATCCGTTATATCCTATTAAAACCATAGTTATGTTAGTACCCAATTCGGTTATGTGAGTAGGTCGCTATACTTTTGCTGATCCTTTAACGGTTTTGTGGTACTTGGTGTGAATATTTATTTACCTACCAAGATATTTTCGCTGATACATGTCAATTATATTCTAGAGAGGAATTAAGGGCAATTGAAAAACTCTCTCTTTCAAAACAATTTGCTCGATGGAGTCAGAGGCAAATAGAAGGGAGGAAAAGAGAGTGATAAAGATTCACTGTCACTCATAACTTAAATGTTAGTATAATACGGAAAAGTGTTCAAAGCAACAGGGATACGATTTATGTGTGAAAGAAACCATCTTCCTGCTTCCTTATTTGTTAATTTGTTTTTTTCTTTCAGTACTCACTTGGCTCCACGATGGGTATTTTTGCGAGACACAGTTGACCTGAATGTTACAGAAACCGGATGCATCGACAATACCACTCAAACCGGGGGTGTTACTACTGGGGCCATAACAAGGAGGAGTCACTATCACGATGAGTGTGAGGGCAAAGAGAGCCTTAATGGAATGGATGCCAATCGGCATGAGGACCATTAAAGGGGCAGTACGGTCTAGAAAAAATTTGCCTAAATCAAAATATTCTGACTTGTTTTTTCTTAACTGGCAATTCATTTGAGCTTAAAGTTTGTTTGTTGACAGAAATTACGTTTAAAAAATTGACATTTTTGAATTAAAATCCGTCATCTTTGTTATGACGTATCTATGACGTAGCAATAGTCAAGCGTTGTAATCTCGACTAAGATGGATGAAAACATATAAAACAGCGGCAAAGAGAGCGATAACTACTCAATTCTCGACTTGGATCTTAATCCAGACGGTGTAATTCGTCCATTCATGTTTGAGCCGCAACATAGCTCATCTTCAGGAGAAGAAGAAATCTCTGTTGACGAAGAAACTCAGGAAGAGATACAAGAAGAAACATCTTCGCGCTCACGTCTTGGATATCGCGAGTGTTGCTCTTGCGGCAACTGTCAAGAGATGCCATCAGAAAACGAGTGTTTATGCCGTCAAGAAATGAATGTACAAGGTGATCGACTCAATCTGGAAGGCAATTAATTCGTCTCAAATAAAATCTTTGTTTATAAAGTGATAATGAAGATGGCGAATACAAGAGGTTAAGGATACGTTGAGGAAGACAAAGCCAGGGGAGCTGGAGTAGATGAAGTGGGCCCAGCCTACTGAGGGCTGACATGGAATACACCGCAAGTAGGCTGACTAGATGATATAACGGGCTTTAGAAAAGTTAATGGTGGCCAGAAGTGTGTAAGAAGGAACTTGTTGTCAGTATATTCAAGAAAGGTGATTTCCGTGATTGTAACAATTGGAGAGGAGTGACTTTGCTACCCATCATCAGCAAAATATTCCACAGGATGCTGCTAGAACGGATCAAAAAAGGTATAGACAAGAAGCTTAAAAAAGAGCAGGCTGGCTTTAGACCAAATGGAAATACAACTGAACAGATCTTTACATTAAAAAAACATCTTAGAGCAGGCAAACGACTGGAGGGCGAGTCTGCACACGCACTTTGGGAACTTTGAAAAAAGCCCTCGATTCGGTACACGGAGAAAGATTGTGGAACATCATGGGGAGTTATGGAATACCGCACAAGATGGTGAGAGTGGACCGTAATCGATGGATTTGAGATATCAGACTGGTTCAAGATTTAGTCAGGAGTAAAGCAGGGATACGTAATGTCAGGATTCTTATTCCTACTGGCCATGGGTTGGATCATGAGGAAGACAATAGCAAGACACTGAGGACTGAGTTTGTAAGGAACAGGGAGAGCATTGTGGTAAATAGTGAAGAAGTGAAAGATGTCGAGGAGTTTGCGTATCTTGGAGCTATTGTAGAAAAGAAAGGTGGAGGAAGTGAAGATATTAGGAACAGAATGCAGAAGGCACGAGGTGCATTCCAGAGGCTATGGAAGGAGTGGGTAGCCAGAGGAATAGGAAAGAGAGCCATGATATGCCTATTCAAGACTTTAGTTCGGCCGGTCCCGCTACATGGTTGTGAAACCTGGAAGATCACAAAGACCGTTGAAAGAAAACTGAACAGTTTTTAGTACTAATGCCTAAGACGGATACTGAGGACAAGATGGCAGCAAATAATGACAAACAGGAGAGTAGTTTAAATGGCAGACACCAATAAAATTAGCTGGGAGGTGGGAAGAAGAAGGTGGAGCTGTTTAGGACACGTACTCAGGAGAAAGTGTATGAACGACTTTTTTGCGGTATTGGGGTGGACACCAGAATGTCGAAGGGCGAGAGGGAGACTAAAGGCCCGGTTGAGAGGGACTGTTGAAAGAGGAAAAAGGCAAGACGATATGGAAGAGCTGGATTGTGGCTGGGGCGGCGGCACGCAACAGGGGGGTTGGGCGGACAATGTGACGGCCTTATGCACTTACTGGCCCAACGAGCGATGATGATGATAATGATGATGATGATACACACCACACGTGACAGTTAACTTTAATTTACGTGCTATCGTAACCCGTGGTTTCTCGGCGAAAGGAAAGGAATGATTACTGTGAAGCTAGAGATCGGAAACAAAAATAAATTTAGAGGAAAAGTGTACCGAACCTGTAGGGTACACTTTACTCTCAGTCGTCAAATTCTTTCATTGTTTATCATTAACGTTCACCACGTCACAAACTTCCAACGCTCTCTCCTCAAACCTATCACTCTAATTATCACCTCTCCTATTTCAATCTTAACCTAACCGTGACTGCGTGAGTCACATGTCACGCAACTTCCCTTTAAAAGGTTACTTGGAACTTACTTTCGAATCAGTGAGTTAAATGATACATACCGTTCTAGAAGTTTGACAAAACTTGGGAATACTTGAACTGTCTGCAATCAAAGGTTGAACAATTTAGAATCACGTGCTTTTAAAGCTGCTCAAGCAGCAAAATTATCTGTAGGTTCTTTTTTTTTATCATAAGCAAAAAACGCAGGCACTGTGTTTGGTTCTTACCTAAGATCTATTGGAGGACAAATGCATTTATTGTACAAAACAAATAGAATCCATGTTGCCTGGGTTCTTTATGATAATAGATCACAGATGACGTCACAAATGTGGTAAAAACATCAGTGTGCCTTTTCTTTGTTCTTATCACATTTTGACGTCATCTGTGATTTCTTAATGAACAAACGCAGGGGCAACATGTAAGTTATTTTTTAAATTAACAAGTATTAAGTGTAGTCTGTTGTTATTTTCGGTCTTTCACTTCCGATCACAAAATGACACAGACATTTGAAGCGCTTTGGCCCAATAATTTAATGGGTATCAAAACTTTTTAAATACGCTGTTAGAAATTCTGGACTCCTTCCGGCGGAAGCAGCCATCCTGCGCCTTCTGCATCAAGTGCTGCCACAATTACTGAGTTTCTGTTCCTCAAGGTTTCTTTTGCAAGTATTCCGAAAAATGTTTACTTTCTGTCCACGGTCTATGTGACCGTAATCAGTCAAGGATTACATTCGCAGCTGGTCATGCGTAATAAAGGAATAATGAAAAACGAAACGGAATTTTTGATGAAAACTGGCTGGAAAAAGGATTTCTATTGGAATTAACAGGTATAATTCTATGGAATACTGACATTCGGAACATGATTTAAAAAGACACTTAGCGAAGAGAATTTGTTTTCTTTGCTGCTAATTTTTTTCCTTCTCTATCTCCCACACAAGAGATCTCACAAGCCTTAAAGTTTGCACCCTACAGGTACTATGCATTAGTCAAGATTATTGTTCAAACTTCTTTCGCCCTACAAAAGTGTACACAATTCGTGGCTCACTTGAGAGGGGGCTCATCCAGAAGATCTTAATTTACAAGAAAAAAACCTCGAGAAACTTTTAATGGAGAAGGCGTTGATCAAATGAATATGATGTCATCCAATGGGCCATTTCTCTTGATTCGCTAAAGTAATTACTTTACTGAGTAGGGTTGCGTCAGTTGAGACAAGATAATTTATTTCCTCTTGGATATGAAAATGTGAATTCTTAAACAGAGGCCAACAATGTTTCATTGTTCTGTTACAGAATGTTTAGATCAAAGTCCTTTTTCAGCATGAACAAGGACTGAATTACTAAAATGAGGAGAACGAAGGAGTTCCTCACCGTAGAGCATGGAATATGTCCCCTTCCCCAGTTCAGTGGGTAGTTATCTAGAAAACTTCCCTATCAGCGAAAGTGGGGTGGGGTGGGGGGGCGGGGCGGGGGCGGGGGCGAGGGTATTAATATAGACACCATTCTAACATCCCTAACTCAAGAAAAAAGCGGATGAAGAGGCAACCTTCGGGCACGCGTGCCTGGCGTGATTACTACAACAATCGAATTTAAATTATGTCCAAGAATATTTCGATCAAAGTCCTTTTCGGAGCAGAAGTACGGATAACAAATTAAATTTAAACAGCCTTTTTAACAAGTACAACAGTTAGTTTTGATTTCCGTACAAGCGTCAAAATTTCAGCCAGTGTGGCGACAATCTTGTAAGCGTATCGCGTGATGCTTTAATTTCTAATTCAGCAATTAAGCTCAGGGTTACTTAAGATTTAGATGTATAATTGAGCTTAGCATAGTAATGACAGACATGTAGCAAGAATGTTCAGATTGCGCACAGCAGAAGTGATATAGACAATCAATAATGGTCTCAAATAATCCGATAAGGAATTTTCTTGGGAAAAACTTCAAATAACTGATGTCAATCTTGGTTTTACATAGTTCAGGCGTGTAATTCTGTTGTAATAGCAGATAAATAGAATCACTATCTTGTAACAAAAGATCGTGATCGATTGAACGTAGAAAGTACGGATATTGTATGGATCTTAAATAATCGCAAGAAAGCGGAACGATATTGTCCTATTGGTTGTCGAACCAGCTCTCCGCAGAGATTTTCCTTATCGAAGTGGGAAATTCTGCAACAACCAGACAAGACAACAAACAAAAATGCTTCATGCGCAACCAGCCTTCAACTCGTAAACAGAACACGATAGCGAAACCACTGTCTTGTGACCCTAACGAATAATTATCCAATGACATTGCGTCTGTTTGGATGGCGTCGATAACCGCAAACGTCACATTTGTGCGCTGATCCGTTGAGTGTGTCCTTAAGGCAATATCTTAAGAAAGTCTCGAATCGGCAGGAGTGGGTTGTGGGGAGAGGGGCAAGGAGGTTTACCTCCACACCATTCCGTAATCCCTCTCTGAATACAAAGCACACAAAAGACAACTCCAAGAAAATACTAAATCTGGCGATTGTGTCGGGTGTGATATTTTAAGTAATTGGAGTATACTCTTCAACATTGGTCAACCATATTCACATGTCTTCTTCTAGAATGTCCTGCTCAAATTTTTCTTTAGAACTGCATTCAAACAATTATTGGAGCAAACAAGGAAAAAGTTCAAAATTGGGAGCCTTTCACCGGAGGAAAAACTCCCGAACGAACAATTCAGTATAAAGTTCAAAATCTTCAGCAATAACACGTAACTTATGATTTCTTCATCAAAATAGACCGCCAGCTAAGAGTGTATGAGGTTTCAAAATTAGGGGAAAATGTTTATGGACAACGGTGAATTCGAAAAGATCTCTGATCGAATGCGGAGTTGGTTTTTGTCAGTTTGTTTCTATAGTGTTCTCTTAGACATAGATTCGCAAAACTTTCCCAACATCAAAACATACGCAATGACTAAACCGACAAGAAGGTTTGTGATCCTTTATCAATCTCGAGATTGAAGACAAATTTTCTATTTCTTGCTGTTGTCCAAAAGTACGTAGAAGTTTGGTTTCAGTTTCAAAATTAGCAAGTCCTGGACCGCTACAGAAACAACTAAATTACATTATGACACAATGTACTTACCAGCGAGGCTAATTTCAGTGTCTTGAGGAACAACTGAGGCTGATAAATGCTATCGTTTGTCTTTCGATCTTTTCACTGCCACTTTAGATCGTGATGGTCAGGTTTGCACGAAGAAGGCTTATAATCAAAACGTCCCGATCTGTACATCGAAGATAAAAACAAATGGAATAAACGATTATACTTTATTCCATATTGTACCGTTGTCCATAAAAAAATGGATAATTCCCACACCAAAAATTCTGCTGCTTTAACGAAATGGTATTGGGGTTAATCTGCTTTTTGCTTTTTTTCAGTAACTGTCCAACAAAACAAAGCAGTTCTTTCGATCATTTAACACACGCAGCATATCAGATGATCAAATCATTAAGTGCATCAACTAAGGACACTTTTGACATTTTCACTAATCTAAAGTGACAATAGTAGAAATCGCTGTGCAATTTCACCTTTTGCTGAACCTATTTTAATAAGTTCCTTCTCCTTCAGCGTGTGTCGTATCAATATAAGTACTCTAGAGTGTATGTTTTTAGAACTGCATTGAAACAATTCTCGGAGCAAACAAGGAAAATGTTCCAAATTGAGAGTCTTTCCCTAGCGAAAAAACTTTCGAACGAAAAATTTAGTTAAAGTTCGCAATCTTCTGCAATAAAACATACCTTATAATTTCTTCATCAAAATACACCGCAAGCTAAGAGCGTGTAGGGTTAGAAACTTAAAGGAAAACGTTCATGGAGAACGGTGAATTCGAAGAGATCTCTGGTCGAATGTGGAGTTGTTTTTGTCAGTTTGTTTCGACAACGTTCTCTTAAACAACACACATTCGCAAAACGTCCCCAACATCAAAACATACGCAACGACTAAATCGACAAGAAAGTTCGTGATCCTTTATCAATCTCGAGATCGAAGACTAGTACTATATTTCTTGCTGTTGTCCAAAAGCAGGTAGATGTTTAGTTTCGATTATAAATTAACAAGTCCTGGCCCGCTACATATACAGTTAAATTACACTATAACACAATGTCCTTACCAGCGAGGCTAATTTCAGTGCCTTCAGGAACAACTAAGGCTGATAAATGCTATCGCTTGTCTTTCGATCTTTTCACCACCGCTGTGTATCGTGGATCGGCCGGGCTCGCACGAAGAAGACTCGTAGCCGTTTGTTTGCAATCCAAACGTCCCGATCTGTACATCGAAGGTGAAAACAAGCGCATTAAGCCATAAGACTTTATCTAATATTGTACCGTTGTCCTTAATTGAAACAATGGATAATTCCAACACCATTAACTCTGCAGCTTAAACGGAAACGTAACGGGGGTACTCTGCTTTTTGCTTTTTTCAGCATTATTGTCTAACAAAACAAAGCAGTTCTTTCGTTCATTTGACACACGCAGCATATCATAATGAAATCATAAAGTGTATCAAATAAAGTCACTTGTAACATTTTTACTAATCTAAAGTGACGATAATAACAATTTCACCTTTTTGTTGAACATGTTTTATTAAGCTCCTTCTCCTCTAGCGTCTGTCGTATCAATATAAGTATTCTAGAATGTATTCCTTCTTTTTCCGTTCTAAACGAGTTGTATCTGTTGCATATAACTTTTATGTAAGTGAATTGAAGTACACGTACCGTTGTTAAAGTCTTAGAAACCTTTTAGTCAGGTATGCAATCTTTATTTCCGATAAAAAAACATAAGCTGCTTTCTGTTGTCAACAAAACACGCAAGGAACTCGAAAGCGAAAAGCTAATCTGACTTTGTCGCAAAGCACATTATTCACATCCCTAAACAGCTGCACCCTACTGGTATCATATCAATTTTCACCGACAACTATCAAATTCGCTTTGGTTTCATCAGTGGTCCATTTTTTGCCCGCAGCAAAAAAACAATAGGATGTGCTTTGACCTGTTAATCTAAATTTTTTTTCGAATTTAATTCGCTCTCCAAAAGTCGGTGAAAAATTCATAATTCACGTTGCCCACGTAAATGGAAAGTAGATAATAGAAGAGCATTGGGGAAATAATTAATTTTGGTGATTTGCTGACTGCACGCGAATCTGGCGCGACATCCATCAAGCAAGAAAATGTGAAATCTTAAACAGAGGCCAACAATGTTTTATTGTCCTATTATCGAGTGTTTAGATCAACCTCCTTTTTTCAGAATGACCAAGGACTGATTGACTAAAACGTGGAGACTAAGGGAGTTGCTCACCTTAGGGTATGGGATATGACCCCTCCCCCGGTCCTGTGGGTATTTCTCCAGAAAATTCCCCCATCAGGTGAAGAGGAGGGGGGGAGGGAGGAAGGAGGGGGGCATTAATATACAAATCATGCTAACATTCCTAACTCAAGAAAAAACCGAAATAAAAGGCAACCTTCTGGCGCTGGTGCTTGGTTTGATTACTACAACAATCGAATTTAGAATATTGTCAAGAATGTTTTGATCAAACTCCTTTTCACAGCAGCAACAAGGATAAAACATTAGATTTTAAAAGCCTTTTTAACAGACTTTAATAATCTTTTTTCAAAGAATCTATGGAATAAGTTCAACAGTTGGTTTTGATTTCTGTGTTAGCGTCAAAATTTCAACCAGGCAAGAAAACAAACAAAAATTGCTTATGCGCAATCAGCCTTCAACTCGTAAACAGGAACCAGAGTGTTACGTATTGTGACCCTAACAAATAATATTCCAGTGACATTGCGTCTTTTTGGATAACGTAGATAACCGCAAACGTCACGTTTGTGTGCTGATCCTTTAAGTGTAAGCAGAGCTGTTAAGTCCGGGGTAAGTGAAAAAAAAAAAAAAAAAACTGAGAAAGCAAAGCACGTTACCTCTTCTCCACCGGTCCTCTAGGAAATATTTGTAAGAAATTCTCGAATCGGCAGGAGTGGGTTGTGGGGAGAGGGGTAGGGAGGTTTACTTGCAAACATTACACTGCATTCCCTTCATGTATACAAAGCAGACAAAAGACAACTTCAAGAAAATATTAAATCTGGCGATTTTCGAACTGCAGTCGTGTCTGGTGTAATATTTCAAGTAATTGGAGTAAGCTCTTGAACAGAGGTCAATCATATTTGGATATCTTCTTCTAGAATGTTCTGCTCAAATTTTTCTTTAATATACACGCCATTCTAACATCCCTAACTCAAGAAAAAACGCGGATGAAGAGGTAACCTTCAGACACCCGTGCCTGATATGATTACTATAACAATCGAATTAAAAATACCCTTCTTACATCCTTAACTCAGAAAAACAACAGATGAAAAAGCAACCTTCGAGCACGGGTGTCTGGCGTGATATTACAACAATCGAATTTAAAATATGGTCAAGAATGTTTTGATCAAAGTCCTTTTCAGAGCAGTAACAAGGATAAAACATAAGATTATAAAAAGCCTTTTTAACAGAATGTAAAAATTTTTTTCAAAGAATCTATGCAGCAACTACAACAGTACAGTTGGTTTTGATTTCTGTGTAAGCGTCAAAATCTCAACCACACAAGACAACAAACAAAAATTGCTCATGCACAACAAGCCTTAACGTGTAAACAGGAACACGAATTTAAAATATAAAAATATTTTAAGAAATTCTCAAATCGGTAGGAGTGGGTTCTGGGGTGAAGAGAAGGGGGGTTTACTTGCACACCATTCCACATTCCCTCTCTGAATTCAAAACAGACAAAAGACAACATCAAGAAAATACTCAAGTTGGCGATTTTCTAACTGCAGTCGTGTCTGCTGTGATATTTCAAGTAATTGGAGTAAGCTCTTGGGCAGAGGTCAAACATATTCGCATATCTTCTTCTAGAATTTTCTGCTCAAAATTTTTTCTTAGAACTGTATGCAAACAATTCTTGGAGCAAACAAGGAAAAAGTTCTATATTGAGAGTCTTTCACCGGAGGAAAAACTTTCGAACGAACAATTCAGTTTAAAGTTCACAATCTTCAGCAATAAAACATACCTTATAATTTCTTTATCAAAATACACAGCACGCCAAGAACGGATAAGGTTACAAAATTAGGGGAAGGTGTTTATAAACAACAACGGTGAATTCGAAAAGACCTCCAATCGACTGTGGAGTTGTTTGTGCCACTTTGCCTCTACGGTGTTCTCTTAGACAAAATACATTCAACCTCCCCAACATCAAAATGTACGCAATGACTAAATCGACGAGAAAGTTCGTGATCCTTTATCGATCTCGAGATCGAAGACCAGTACTGTGTTTCTTGCTGTTGTCCGAAAGCAGTTAGATGTTTAGTTGCAGTTTCAAAATTAGCAAGTCATGGCCCGCTACAGAAACTACAAATTTACACTATAACATAATATATACTTACTAGCGAGGCTAATATCAGTGCCTTGAGGAATAACTAAGGCTAATAAATTCTATCGTTTGTCACGTACACATATGCTGTGTTGCATTTTTTTGCTATTGTCCAAAAGCAGTTAGATGTTTCGTTTCAGTTTCAAAATGAGCAAGTTGTGGCCCGCTAAAGAAACTACAAATTTATACTACAACTCAATGTACTTACCAGCAAGGCTAATTTCAGCGCCTTGAGGAACTACTAAGGCCGACAAATGCTCTCGTTTGTCTTTGAATCTTTTCACTGCCGCTGTGGATCCTGATGGTCAGGCTTGCACGAAGAAGGCTTGCAATCAAAACTTTCCGATCTGTACATTGAAGGTAAAAACAAAGTGCAATAAACGATTATATTTTATCTCATATTGTACCGTTGTCCATAACAAAAATGAATAATTCTCACACAAAATGTTTTGCTGCTTTAACGAAATGGTAGCGTGGGTAATCTGCTTTTTGCTTTTTGCTTTTTTCAACATTATTGTCTAACAAAACAAAGGAGTTCCTTCGTACATTTGACACACTCAGCACATCAGATGATGAAATCGTGAAATGTATCTAATAACGTCACTTTTTAACATTTTCACTAATGTAAAGTGACGATAGTAGAGATCGCTGTGCTATTTCACATTTCTGCTAAACCTGTTTTATTAAGCTCCTTCTCCGCCAGCTTGTGTCGCATCGATATAAGTATTCTAGAATGTATGCGTGTTTATTTTCCGTTTAAAACCAGTTTTAACTGCTACACATAACTTTCATGTAAATGGATTGAAGTACACGTACCGTCGTTTAA